TCATTGTATACGCCTGTTAGACACTAGTGATTATAAGCAACTAAAAAAATGACGAAAAAGAACGACCATGTAACGATAGAGAGAGTGAAATGTACGGATGATGAGAAATTGTGTCAATTGCACGTTCACGTGAGTTTCATGTGTAGGTCTGACCTCTCGAACGGTACCCTGTATGCTGTTCGGCAAACTAAAAGTTGGTATTAAGAAAAACGAGACCCCTTGTAGCTCCGAGTCACCAGCGGAAGTCAAATGGCATTAATACGCGGAAGTACGCTTCTGTCATGAGAGAAACACACACACTGATCAACTCACATTTTAACTTTATTTGCACCTTGCCCCTTAAAACGGTGCACCACACATTCATTACCACTACAAACAAATGAGGAGTTCATGGAGACCAGGCATGAGAGTTGATGACAACAAGGGAAGTGCGCGTCTCTCCCACTCTCATGTCCAACTTCCTTTTGGCACGCATAAACCTCTCACGAGAGTTTAACTTCCACCTCGTACGTGCATCACTAGTACCCCGCGTATTCACGTTACCCTCTCTCTGAAGGCCGTAACCGCCTCACAACTCAGTTTTTTTATCGTTGAGAGTTGGCCTCTGTACCGTCTTCCACATGCTCAGCAGACGGGTGGTCTTGTTGCCACTGCTCGAGTCCGTGCCGGGATTGAGTCTTTACATCACTTTGCTCACTCTCCGCCTCCGAGTCATGGTCTAGGTCTTGTTGTCCCCTCTCGGTAGTCCCAGTTGAAGTTTTTGTCCTGTGGCAGGTGATAGTCACTTCAAGTCGTGAGGTAGCATGGTTTCGCCAAATTTTTTTTCTCCGCCCTGTTTTTTGCTGCTGTAATTGCCGCCTACAGCTTCTGTTCCTTTCTCATCTTTTCTTCTCTACCCCTTTCGACATTGACTTTTAGCGTAGCATCTTCCCCGTCAAAACTAAGGATCGTCGTGATCCAGGGGCCCTCTCCCGATGCTAAGGCCCAATGTACCAAGAGTCTTCAGTAACCAGGCTTGTAGCCCTCTACTTTCTTTCAGCGCGCCATTGTCACTCTCTCAAAATAGCCTTTGGCCATGTGCTTACCACCTTTAACAACTATGCGCCCTCTCAAGCACTTAGTACGTATAAGTTACCGAAACACTAAGCCCAAAACGCCCCAATCTTTGTTCTTGAGTTCCGCACCCTTATCCCAACTTTCAAGACTACGCAACGGCAACAAGAGTCCATGTGTACATCCACTAACCAATAACCAAAACTGCCTCTTTTATAAAGCTTGAGGGACACGCGATTCCTGTGTACTAAACGGAAGACTCATCTTCAAATATTTACCATAAAATAAGGTAATAATAATAGTTCCCGATAAATTTAATTGAGACTAAAGTCGAACGTTCACTAATGGAGCGTGACTCTATGACCTATAAATGCTGTCTTTTCAGCTCAGTTCGAAAAGATTGCACGTCTGACGCGCAGTGGTCCTATAACGGGATCTCGATTGGAGTCTTCCTTCCTTCAAAGGAGGTCATCAGACTATCCCTAGTGGGTACCCATGTTTGATAACAAGGAGGGGGTTCATGCCCTTCCACGTGGGTGATGAACTTCCTACCAAAGCGGTCGTAGGTGTCCCTTTATTTTGGAGTTTTACAACACGACGCTTTGCAGGTCACATCCTCCATAAACAAAATGCGAAGGTTCGGGTCAGTCTAGGCCACCCGCTTGTAATTACGACTAGAAAATGAACCGTTTGTTCCTCCACGAAGTGCCAGAAGTGGAACTAAAATAAAAAAAAATTAATTAACTTATAATAAAGGAGACAAATTCTCATTAAAAATTGAGTCGTCGCTTATGGTTGATCATCCGATTAATCTAAATAAAAATGGTGGCTTCAGTTGAACGGAGATGAAAATGGCGCGCCACTTTCTCTTTTATTTTATTTTATTTTTCTATCTTTTCTCTTGCTTTGATTAAAACTGTTGTCTCTATGCTCGTCCTATAACTATGGTTTTATGAATTCGACGCACAATTGAAAATATTACATCGAGGTTACTATCTTCTCGTTCCAAAGTGAGCCCAACGGCTACCATAAGCACAGACCGTTTGTGCTTTGTTGCACAGCACGACGTCAAGCTTGCGTGAACCAATGGAAAATTCAGTGGCGCACCCCCCTTTTTTGTTTGTGGAGGTGTCAACTAAGACTCGTCCACGAACAAAACACGCAGGGGATATCCCTGGTAGAACAGTCAGTCGAAAACTGCTCGCAGGTAAGGTGTGACTAATACACCATAGAAAGTCGGGACACCGTGCCCTCAAAGATGATACCAAACCCCCGCCCAACGTCCCCACTGGGCCAGAACAAGAATACGTAATTAGTACAAAATTTGCACCGCTCCGCGAAGTTTTTATTCATTTTTCACAATGACTTAGTTGTGATCTCAAGGCAAGTTAGCGATGGCAGTAGCCTTAGCTACCTTAGAGCATACAGTTTTCGTTTTCCTTCTTTTGCGACGCAATGATTATCTACTTATAGTATAGCGTTTCCGCAAGAGTTATATAGATGCTTATGACTTTTTTTCTTAGCAACGTGGTCCTCTTCCACTCACTTGTACAACAACTTAATGTTTGCGTAGCGCAAAGTTTTCTTCCTCTCATATCATATCCTCAACCATAGCTCAGGAATCTCGTATCGACATTGTAACTTCTTTCTATCACACGTTACTTAGTTACGATAACTTTTACAATATGCCTGAGGCACGTAAGGGACATAGAAAAGGAAGGGATGGTAGGGCAGACAAGGTTCGCGAAGAACCGCCGCCTCGCTCTAAGCGTGAGTTTAACTCTGAGGAGGAGAGGGAGGAGGTGCGAGGCTATGACGCTCACACTAGGCCATACCCACACCACTCTTTTACTAGTTGGTATGAATGAACTTCATCCCCTACAAGAATGAAGTATTATTAAAAAAGGTTTGAGGCACGTTATGGAGCCCCAAACTCTTCCTCTCCTCCGTACTCTCTCAGAGTTTTCACCACATCAACGACAAGGACTTAGTGCCAAAAATTGAACCTTCTGTCCCAAGTGCAGTGCATTTTTTTTTTCTTCAGTCCGATCTGATCAATTGTACTCTCTTTGACATTTTTTTTCTTTTAGCTTTACTCCAAGTAAAGTTCATGGTTATTTTCTATATAATGTACAAAAACGATATGATGCCCTGAATTTTTTAATTTTCTTTTCTTGATTTGACAATCCATATCATATTTCACAATGTTCTAGCTTAAGAGTTTGAATACCCTGAGGTCAGGGATGCAGGTTCCTCATGAACCAGACCGTTTTATCGGCCACCAACTAAATTTAAAAAGGATTATATCTCAATTTCTTACTCGCAATTGACTTTGACCTCTTGTCACTTGGAAATCTGTTTTTTTCCGATCTTTCCTCGATGGAGAAATCACCTCGTCACATTTTGACAATAAACGTCGGGGATATTATGAACCCGACATAATACGGCAGACAGTCACTCTGTCAACTCTGCCCGGGAAAGGTGTACCAAACTTTTTTCTTGTTCTCTGGTCGGAGTGAGACGTCTTCTCAAGTTTTCAAGTAGCCAAAGGGGATATGAAACCTTTTTTTTTTTCTCTGATTTGAGTCAGGCGTCTCCCCAACTTCTTATATAAACACAGGGGATACCAACCCCCCTTTTTTTTTCTCTGGTCTGGGGAACTTTAAGTGATCTTGCATAAACCTACAAAACAGTGAGTTCCACAAACAACCACCAAAGTCTCATCAAACAAACTTCCAAAAATGCAATAGTCAATAAGTGAATAAATAAAATAAATTAAAAAAAAAACCCATAATAAAATACTAAATAATATAAACAGTTGTTCATACAAAGAAACCATCGATTGACTTAGTTTTCACCCACCACTGGCCAGGACTGACATACCTCTTTTCAGTCTAACATCCCTCATTCGGCCCGCCTCAGGCCATGACTACCTTCTTCCTCCGAACATAATGCACATGCGTTGTAAACGAATATAAGGCATATGTTGCGCTTTATTCGTTTAATCCGCATATGCATTGTATTCAAGTGCGGTGCAACAACTTTTTGGACAGAAGGGGGACGGGTTCAGCCTGAATAGGCTCAATTCTGGTCGTGGGCGGAGAGCATTGGAAAAATAAAAAATCAAAAATGTGGCGTCGTATCTTTCCATGTTCTGGCCGAGGCCTCCCTCCACTCCCCACAAAATATCAAAAATGAGAATGAGTCTTCTGCTAAAACATAAAAAATACGACGCCCCGGTGTAGTGAGGAGCGTCACTCCTGGCTTCCCACTGCCCCTGCTGCCACTTTCTTGGCTGCCCTTTGTCAGACATGACACATTCAAGAAGACGGCAAGTCACACACACACATATGTGAGAGAGAGAGAGAGAGAGAGAGAGAGAGAGAGAGAGAGAGAGAGAGAGAGAGAGAGAGAGAAGACAGAGGCGAATTACAGGTGAGTTCAACTTTATTTATTTTCGCTTTTCTTGTGCAACTAGCTCCACCAAGAGTTGCAGGAGGTAGGACTAAAATGGGAAAAAAAAAAAAAAAACCTGAAAGAAAGAGGGTTTTATTCGAATAAAATATTTCTCTATTTCCGAAATCCGATCAGAATGCATATGCGATTTATTCGAATATAACAAATATGCATTGTATTCAAAGTGTCCGTCTATTTGAATCCAGGTTCAATCAGCATTATCCCAATGGCGACCGACTGCAGGAACGGCTCGTTCGAGACTGGGACGGCAAGTGTTCTCAGAGGGCTCAGGCGGCTTTGCCCCGGAACCTGTTTCTGTCCGGGGGCTAGGTCCCAGTTGCACGAATTAAGAGATACTGACCGTAGATGGCAAAGATCAACGGCCGAAATCTCCTCATTTGCGCAAGTGGGACCTTGCCCCGGGGCTGGGCTTGCGTTGGTGGACATCGCCCCGGCTTCGCAAAGCCATAGCTGGTGTCTCGAAGGACAGAAGACGGAAGAAGACGGACGCACCGTCTACCGTACTGTGCTGCCTCGTCAATTCCCGCCACATCGTCAGGCAAGGCACTTTCCAAAAAGACACTTTCAGGCTATATTGTCAGGTCAAGACACATTCCCGCCATATCATGAGGAAAGAGACTTTGGCGACAAGTCACGAAGCAAGGTACCTTCCCGCCATATCGTGAGGCAAGACATTTTCCCGCCATATTGTGAGGCAAAACAGTTTCGCACCATATCTTGGGGCGAGAAACTTTCCCGCCATATCCTGAGGCAATGACAGTTTCCCGCCATTTGGTGAGGCAAGACAGTTTCCCGCCATTTCACGACACACGGGTGGCGGAGGGAAGCTCGTAGATTGCCGCTGCACTTGCAGCCACTTTCCCGCCATTCAGCATGAGAAAGCCGTACTGTGCTTGTGGCCACGTCAGCAGATGATTGACTCGCGGTGTTTGACGCCACATCCACGTTGGTAGGTCATTCTTCCCTCTTCTCTCCTTTCTGCCCTTCAGTGGGTCCTCCCCCTATCGTGTTGCTCTCTCTCTCTCTCTCTCTCTCTCTCTCTCTCTCTCTCTCTCTCTCTCTCTCTCTCTCTCTCTCTCTCTCTCTCTCTCTCTCT